GAGGAATATTATGGCTAGAATTTTTTTGTATGTGTGTGTGTTCCTAACTACATCTTTTGGAAAAAAAGATTAAACATCATTCTGTCCCAAGTAAATATACTACAGCAGGCTTCTACGCTAATTTCCCCCTCCTCTTTATATCTCCGATAGAGAAAACAAATTTACATCTTAGAAAGTTATTTACACCAACAGAAGTCAGCGATTTCAATATTTAGACAAGGTTAACACAACCAGAAATTACCTGCTGTTAAGACAAATCATAAGTGAAGACCAGTAGAGTTTATGCAAAATTTTGAGGTTGCTATACTATAAAGTCTCTTAGATCTTTCTCCTGTTTGTAATTAGTCCAAAATAAAGAGATCTCATTTTAATTATTAATGACTGTAGTGAAAGCAGCCTAGATTTCTTGATCCACACAACATTAAGAGAAAAATCTAGCCAAATGACTGCCTACTGAGATCACTTTAATTTATGCCTTAGACCAAGTGACAGAGTTCCAGAAAGAACAGGCTTTTGAGTTAGGCACTCTTCTTGAAGCAGGAGATAAGCATTAGAGGCTGTTCCAAAGAGACAACTTTATTATAAGACAACCATTGCTTTGTCAAAGACCTCGTCCTTAATAAAGGGATTGGGGGAGGGCAACAGAAACAAGGGAGAGGACAAGAATGAGAACAGGAAGAAAGTTAAAAAATGTAAAGGAGAAAAATATAGCCAAGGCCAAAGGTTAAAAAAAAGTAAGAAAATACCTACAAAGCTGCAGCTAGTTTTACAAATTCCATAATGTTTAAGTATATTTTCATTTCACGACTGGATTCACACTGCTTAGGGATAAGAACTTTTTGCTTGAATGCTAGCGCTCACTAAAATGACATCTCCACTAGAAAGTGCTGTTGATAGCATTTGTCCTGGCATACAGTTGCCAGTATGTCAATAAAAATGTGTGCACAGCAGGCTGATGAGGAGGACTTCCTAAAGCAGGATGTTTTATCAGCAGCAGATGTATAGATAAGTGCAGTTATGCACATTTTCACAGCATTTATATCACACTAAGGGAAACTAACAACCCCTTTCAAAAGGAGAGGTGCTTTAAGGCAATGTTCCCAGTGCTCCATCACATCATTTCCATATTGCACAGATTACATTCCTGGTTCCTCTGTTACACTCCCATAATCTGTACTTCCACATGACAATTTTTGCTTTGTCAGCTCAATTCTTGACACTTGAATGCTGAGGATTTTGGATGGTGAAATGAGCATCAAGTGATTGGACGGCAATGGAAACCTGGAATAATTAATAATGACTGCGTAACTTCCAGGTGCAGAAAAATAAGTTCCAGTAACTGTCAGTTAAATTCACCCTATCTCAAAGACATCTGAGCTCCACAAGCTGCTTTGTGCATGGAAAAATGGATAATCATCATGTTCCACTTGCAACACCCTGCTGCAATCAGCAGAAAATGATTTGGGATCTGGAAAGCCTGGGGTGAAAACTGTCACTACCTTGGCATGCGAGGTCTTCAACGCATATCTTGCTGCACAAGCTACTAGCACTGGGCAATGCTTGACAAAAATAAAAGCATATGAAAGGATGATCATCCACATCAGGGTAACATTTACAGCAACGATACATATCACGTTTTTAATTCTACTTTTTTTGCTCTACTATATTGCTGCTGCTTATGAAAAGTGTAACTGCTGTTCTTCCCTAGTTACACAAGTCCTGATGGACCTCTGAAGAGGGAGACACGTGACAATTTGTACCATGAACTTTATGACAAGGTGGATGCCGGGTCATTTTTCCCTGATCAATCTATTCCACTGGCAAGACTGAATTGCCAGATGTGCTCCTCAAGGATCCCTGGCTTTAAATTTAGACGACATACTCGGAGACCACCACAGAAAGATTGAATTGCCTCTCAAAACAACATAGACCAATAGCAGGGAACACACTAAAGAATGCCAACAATGTGGGTATTACAGAACCAAACATTTCTATTGCTATTACAGTATGCTGTATTTTATCTGATACTTGCAATAGCATTAAATAAAAAGTGCAAGAGAATAAGAAGTGTAGGGATACTATTTGCTGATTTGGAGAAGCCTGCTACGAGAGCAACTTCCAGAGCACAATCAGATGGCATACAACTGAAAGAAGTTTTAAAAAAGGTGCACTTGCATATTATGCCATAGTCATAGTAGTTCTTTGTGCTCTTGTGAACAAAGAGGACTTGCTTTGTAGATTCATTTTAGTTACTTTTTAATTAGAGGACAGAGCTACTAAGTAATATGAGGAAAAGGATGGATGGTCCTGTTTGTTTTGAAGTTTAAATATACAGTGATTTTCACCAAGAAAAGCTTAATGTATGTGGCAGTGAAGAGAAAAGAGCCTATCTGGTTTTAGTATGTAAAGGCAAGACACAGTTGTTAACACAAGCTAAGCAACAATGTAGAATACTTTGTATTTCCATAGTGACAGAGTATAAACCATGGTTTGTACTCTGGTAATTGGAGTAAGAGACTATAGTTCCAGCCTGGAATGAATTACCTACAAAGAACAAAACAGTGACTGATAAAAATTTGAGTCTTAAAGTTTTATTCCACATTGCTTTCTAGTCTGAATTCGTTGCCCGAGAACTGTAATGCTGATTTGATACTGATGTGTTTTAGTCTATCCTCGCTTTGATACTTATGTGGTTTAGTCTATCTTCATAGATCCATTTCCACAGGTATCTGCTTGCAACCACCGCGGTAAAAGTTTCTGCTTTTCCTCACCTCTTCTTCCTGAAGATGAAGGCCGGCCTTTCCACAGGTACGTGGATGGTGTGGCTCAGTGCAAGACTTCATATAAACAGCCATTTACAACTAGATACACAAACTTAGCACATAGGAAACGATAAGGAGCAAAGTCTTAAGTTTTCCTATGAAGACCACCAGAGCCAAGTAGAGACCTTCTTCGTTTCGCTGGTGTCAACAGCTTCACATATCACAAATAGTTCAGGAAGAATATCAAAGAACAGCAGTCCATAGTTGAGACCAGTGGGATGGGATTTGTCTGGGTCCTCAGCAGATGCTGTGCCAATTTAAACATTGTTAATTTATTATAAGCAGCAGTGATCCAAGCAGATATATTATTCATAAGAAAATCAAAGGCCCAAGGAAAAGGACAACATATGATTACTTGTTTCAGGTCACTCTGCAGAGATGATTGCACCACGGGAGAACTGTGCCAGCCAAGACACTCTACAAACTGGTAAGAGAGCCAGACTAAAAAGCAACCAGGTTTATGCTTAAAAACAGACACTGCAAGTTCAAGTAGTTCTTTTATATTTAGAGCATGAGATGGACTTACCTACCACAAGACCATTTATAATGTCACATTTATGCTCAGTTGACAGATCATTCACCTATGGTCAGATAGGCTGAATGCAAGTTGCTAGGTTTTATGAAAGGATCCTTTGCCATCTTTGTACATGCTCAAGTGCTATTCAAAAGGCAACATACATTAAGTCTTCTTGAACTTGGCCACTGCACTAACATTACAAAACTACAACCATCATCACAGCCATCTAGCCTCAGTCAGACCCTGGGCTTATAAAGTCAGTGCTCAACAACCTACACTGAATTTACAATGCATAACTCTAATACTACTTCCTAAATCTAGGTCATTACAAAGAATTAATTAAAGGCCAGTCAGATGATCACTGAAACCAGCAGCAATGGAAAGAAGAAAAAGAGAGGGAAGGAGGAAGAAGGGGAAAAGATAGAAAGGGAAGTTAAGCTGTTACAGGTGGAATGAGTGAAAAAAGCGGAGGGGTGTACATGCATGTGAGTAATTGCAGTATAGCCTCTAAACACACAACTTCTACAGACAGAACAGTTCAGACCTTGCTTTAAGCCTGACTGTATTGGTTCAACCTCACCTATAAATTGACACAAGCAAGTTAAGCAGCTGTAGGCCCACATAATTTGGTTCAACTTTATACCACCACATTAATTTAACTAAAGTGGTATAAACAGCAGGTTTAGAATCACACCCTGTTAAACTTTGGCCAAGCAGCAATTACTACCTGGGACCATGTTCCATCACCAGCATTTAAAAAAGACAGTTACTAACAACAGATTAAAATGCTCTCTGGAGCAAAGACCAAAGCTCAGACCTTCCTTCTCCAGACATGCACCCTGTTTGAGAGTCATGTAGCATTCCGCCATATAAGCATAAGTGAAATTAATGAAGAAGGTAAATGATATCCTACAACCATCCTCACAGCCTAGGTGGTATTACACATAGGTGGATGCTCTCATTGTCCGATTATCTGTATTAACGGAGTAGATAGCTGCTACCTGAAATGGAGCAACCCCTACTTTTGATTCTGACAAGGCTCAGTTCCTAAAGAGGTTTCAAGGGTGTGAATTCCAAGCAGAATCAGGTATTTATACTCTGATCCTCTCAACTGGAGGACAAATGCTTACGTCCTCACCTTTCATGTGTGCCAGCTTAAGACAGTTCTCCAGCTCACACTGATTACCATTCTAAGGCACTGGCTGTTTCTTTTAAAGAAGTAGCAAATATAGCTACTTTAACTCAGGGATGACCACCTTGCTTCCAGGAGTAAGTGTTGTAATGCTGAGTATCATAATATCTTTGTGCTTCCATTTGTGAATCTAGCTATAGATACTAGGCCATGAACAAATTAAGAGCATCAAACAATGCCAAAAGACAAACACTTAGGATAATTAATCCCCCAGTAAACATTTACATCCAATTTAGTGTTGAAAAGAATACAAATCTACCCAGTACAAACCAAACTTATGCTGCAGTCAAACGCCCCTTCCAAGCCTATAAGAAATTCGCCAAACAAAGCAGGACATTTTTTCCATGAAAACCAATTAAGTATAAAGCAGATATTGTAATACCATTCAGCTCTCAAATACCCGACAAGCTGGGTTTTAGAAAGGTACAGACTGGACTTTCCATGGTTAAGATAAACACAAACAGTAATCTTGGGTTTCTAAATATGTTGTTTATTTATAGTTAAATGTTAACATCTGAACAGAAATCTGCAAGCGTGCAGGGATAATCTTTCAGTGATGTTTCTGTTTAAATTGAAGTCCACAGTAGCCACATGTTCCAGTCTTTGTATCTTTGTCCTGCAAAAATATAAAAATACAACAGCTGCTAGTTTCACTTTATAAAACTTTCAGAAATTACAAATCTTCTCTTATTTATATGTGCCATCTTAAAACGGATCAATATAGCTGAAGTACAGAGTTCAATCTTATTTGAAACACTGGAAGTAAGAACAATGGTATGTGCTTGATTTCTGTATCCTATGCAGTTTCCCTTCTGCCAGCCTTTTAACTACTAGGCCTAATCTCAACAATATAATTTTAAAGTCAAGCCAAGTGATATCTCTTCAACAATAAAGGATCTTCTTACCGAACTGGACATCTTAAGTCAGTTCGGTCATATCTGTTCCAATGTTCTGAAAAGATAATTTCACAATTATTTTAATACAGAATAGGATTTGGCATTTCCAAGTTATATTAAGACAAGGATTTTTGGCCAGTAATGTAAGCTGACAGAGTTAGTTGCAGGAAGGAGGAAATTTCAGTAGGATTCTAGGGGAAATTCTGAAGGAAAATGTTTTATAGAAAAGTAGCAGTTACTACTGTATAAAATTTTATTCTTCTCTCCAAAAGATACTTTTTTTTTTAATTTTAGAAGTGTGACTGACTGCGTGCTGTTGTTGTAGTCCTCCTTAACACGAAAATAGCCAAGAGTTACGTAAACACTAAAGGATCTTCTGTTATTTAACAACATGACTATTTGCAGTCATGAAATGAAGTAAACTCATGGTTCCCCTTCCTTGATACAGGATTAGAAGTAAAAAAAATCCAGACTACCCTCCACCCCCAAAAGCCTGGATTTCAATTATTAGGCTAGGGGAAACAAGCTGGTCTAATACCATTCTCTCTTTTCAGACATTAGCTTTCAAGAACTAACCCACAGACATCTTGTAATTTGATTGTTAACACGAAAAGGTTTCAAAATTCACAAAACCTAAAGCATTCCTCAAGTAGAGTGTGGCACAGGTCAAACGAATCAACATAAATGCAACTTATCAACAGTGTGCTACAGAAGTTAACTGAAGAACACAAGCTTCCTAAGTTTTATAAATTAGAACCTCCAAGCATTTGACTTTGAATAATGTCAAATGAATCATCATAAAGTGCTTGCTTTGTTCAAAATAGAAATGCTTGTGATTATAGCTAGGAGTTGCAACAACACTGACACTACAGGACATCAGCTCTCCCCTGCCATTCTTTTGGGTATTAAGCAAACGTCAGTTTAAGTGAGCAAGCAAAGATTTTAAGACATCTGCAGTCAGGGTCTGCCCAAGAACAATACCTAAGCAACAGGTCATCGTTGATTCCACCGAGGTCATGACAGTAGCCTCAATATTCTTACTCTCTAGAATAAGAATACACTGGAAACTATCACTGCTGTCAGGGTAAATACGGAGATAATAAGGCATTTATTCTTCACTCATTCTCTGACTATGATGGAAACTTTAAATCTTCAGAACTACCAAGGTTCCCAAAGACTGAAAGAGTTTTGCTTTGTTTTTCTTGAACACACAGGATTCAAAATAAATTGCATATTCCTAAGAATATTGCAATGTATTCTCAATCTACATGGTGGCATTTAAATAATTAGAGTAAGTTTCTCCAAACACAGCAGGCATATTATTTTTTGCTCACAAGGCACTGCTTGTTCATATTAATTTGTAGTTAATTTTTTTTCCAAAAAAAAGATTGCCCCATCAAACCAATCAAAATCAAGAGCAAGAAATACCTCGTAACTTCAAATGGAAATGCTCCAGCTCTTCTGAATAAAAATCCTAATTTTATATTAAGAACCAGATAAGATTAACACCTCGGGTGGTTAATCCTTTTACTTTGTTAAATTCACCTGCCAAGAAGTAGAGGCTCTTACAAACAAGCAAAGCATGCCATACACAGATCAAAAGATATTACCAAGTTTATGTATACTTTAGGATGTCCCAAAGCTCCACCACCACCATCGCATGATATCACTCTGCTTTCAACTTCACTCACAGGCTGCTCTGCTATCAAATCAATTGCAAAATTCTTGTTCACCTGTAAGAGAAAAAAGCAAGCTTTCAGATACCTTCCCCACTCAAACAGAAAGCAAGTGCTCTTTACCATCTCTCCAAGCAGTTCCACTACAGCCACTTTGAGAAGTTCCTGCATATGTTTCCTCCCATCTCCTCCACCAACTCTTAAGGCTGTGCTATAAGCCAGATGAGTGAACTAAGCACGTTGACTCTGCAAAAAGTAATCCCCTTCCCCTGATACACAGGCCATATCAGTGCTCAGGTTTACAAAGTGACCTAAGCAGAATCGGCAGAGAGGTGAGCAGGAGCAAGCAGCCAAGAATAGAAGATATTTAACTGACACTGCCTCTGTATTGTGCTTTAGCAACTACATGATAAAATTGCAAAAGACTCACTGCTGATAAACTCAAAAATAATGGTGGGACAAGTAAGGTCAGGAGTGAGTTAAAACAACTGCTGGTAATTTAGAGCCTCTCACCACACACTTTATTCTATCACTGCATAGGAATCTCAGGAAAACACGAACATGGTGCGTAACAACAATCAGAAAGGCAAGTTGTTCAGCATTAGAAAAAAAAACCAAAACCACCCTCTAAATGCCACCATGCCGCTCTGTAAGTCCATCTCATACATACTTCCTGAATATGCACATCCCTGGTAAGTATGACTTTTTCCCTACAGCATGTCTATGTGGTCTGGCAAACGTATCCAGGTCTAGACAGGCCTGCAACACAGCAGCTTGTGCCTTAGCAGGACCGACAGCACCCAGCCACAGCACCTTCCTTCCTCACCCACACCAACCTCTTCCAACCCAGCCTGCACCAGCACTGAGCAGACAACCATCCCTACCCCTCAGACAAACATGCTCCAGGACAGACCAGCTTTTTCAAAGGCAATGTTATCACGCAAGAATATAAAATAATATGCACACCCAAAGAAGGCACTATCGATATACTGCTCTGTGTATAAGGTTCATAAGCATGCTGGTATTTAAATGAAGATGAGATTCTTAGGAACAAGATACCTAAGCGTCCATTAAATTAATCCCCGAGAACTACAACGGTATTTTTATTCAGTTCTAGTATACAACAACTTAGGACCTTTCACCAACCCTCCAACTAAATGTCCCCAAAATTTGCATTTTTGGTATAGCAGTGGAAAAGTCAGTTTTGCCAACAACTGGATTTTCTTTATCCAAAGAAGATGATAGCTAAATAAAGTTAATGCAAAATTAACTTTTGGTATTGAAGCAAATTAGCAACATCAAGAACTTCACTGCCTGGGGCCTGTGTCTGCAAGTCATATGTAATCTTTGCCAACCTGCAAGGATTTTTACTGCTGCTTTTAATAATGCTCAAAATGGTGCATCCTTTATTTCATGCTAAAGAAGGAGGGACATAGCACCATGATGCCCCTCTGCTTCAAGATCAGAAGGGGAACTCCATTCTTCCCAACATTTCTTAACCACAAAGGTATTTGTGGGGAAACAGGGGAAGCAAGAACCTCTCATCCACTGTACAGCTACAACTTGTCTGTGGTTCAGCCTACTAAACAAGAGAATCTAGGAACTTGCAGGGAAAACATGCCAGAAAAAAACCAGAGACTGAGAAAAACAGTGAGGAAAAAAAGAAGTTCAGTCACACCATGTCCCTTCATTTAAAGCACAGCAGTAGCTAGCGGGAAGGGACCATTTCCCTCAGCACATCCAAATGCACCTTGCCCAACACATAATTCAATGATCAATTTTTTTCCTGGCCATAGTGCCAGTTTGACAATCCTATTGCTGCTTCTTTCCACCTACTTGTCTGTGCCAGTACATGGTCTGGGAGGCAGAGAGATAAAACCAAACTTGGAATTGACCCAGGTCCAAAGATCCAGAGGGAAGGCAAGAGGTTGTATTTAAACAGGACCAGTGCTGAGGTCAGTTCTCCTTGCAGCTTCAGCTGCTGCACCAGCCCAACGGAAAGCATAGAGCCGAAGCAGGAACGGCAGCGTCGAATTAGGTCCTGTGGCACCTTAGGGACTGTACAAGGGCAGGATGACCCTAGTTGGACTGCAGCAGATGACCAGTTGCCATGCTCGGTCTTCTCACAGCTACTTGCTTTAGGCCCTTGCCAGAGAGCACCAGCCCCCTGGTTCTGCACATCCAGTGCAGAAAACAGTGATTTTAGGTAAAACACATGGATTTCATTAGCAGTTAGGCTGGCAGAACTGAGGGGGACAATAGCCACATACTCTGGGCTGTGCCCCCAGGCCTGGCCACCAGCCGGAGAAGCCACCTGCAGCACCCAGACGTCCTCACTGAGGGCACCTGCACCCAGAGGCTGCATCCCCAGAGAAGAAAGCTGCCGCAGCTGGACCAGGCCAATCACAAGGCACACTCAACCACCCGGAGCATACTGAAGGCGAAGAGAAGAAGCAACCAAGAACATACAGTCACCCACTTTGCAGGCTAGCTTTAGCTTCAGAAACAAGACAACATACTACAGACACAGCTGTGAAACCCTAATACTAGCAGCTGAAGCGCATTGGGGAATAATGGCAAAGTCCCTAGAGAGAGATCCCATTAATAAGCACAGATGAGGATCATTTCAGTATTTATCATGTAGGTTTTGCTCCAATTTGACAATTAAAACCTAGCATTAAACCTTGCTCAGCAGACTTAAAGCTTGTCTTTTGCTGGAAAAGGAGAAACTGGGTTGAACTGAAAACCCTGGGTGTTCCTCACCACAGAGAGTCTGAAATCAGCTGCTGGCAAAGGCACATCAGAGGGACCAGCACCCTGTGGAGAATTAGGCTTAAGGAGCATTTCCTACAAAGTTACAGAAGTAGCACAGAAACAGGCATTGCATTTAGGAAAGACCTACTTTGCTACTATCCTCCCAGAAGTAAACTACTTCAGCATTTTAAGTGACATTTTCATTTAACTATTTCCCATGTAGAATCCCCATTTTTGCCACACAGCATGAATTAAATTGCATCTGTGATACAGTCAGGTAAACTCAATGTGGAAATTCAGAAATCAGCATAATTAGTTCAGATTAATTTAGGAAGGAAATAATTACACACAACTACATTAAAAGTCTACCGCACCATATATATGAGGCCTCTACTATACATACACCTTTATAGCATTAACACTAACACACTAATCAGACACTCAGACATTAAGGAAGACAATTTTGCCGAAACAATCTCTCCTTCTCTCCAAAAGGCCAGCAGATCCCTCATGAAGCTGTGCTGCTCCATCATTAGAGAGAATTCAGCACTAAAGGACTTACAGTTTCACACACCCACTCTATTGATAAGCAGCAGCAGCAACAGGCCCACAAAATAACTTCACAGTAGCAAACTTGGCTGATGCTAGTGTTACTAGACTTTGCCTTTGAGGCTTTGTTATTTCAGAATACTCTAAATTTTAGTTTTATTTGTCACATCACTGTTTCAGCAAAAGCTTCCCAGGCTCTGGAAATGAAGTGGCCTCATTAAAAACTCGGTTTGCGTAAAGATCAAGATTTTAACTAAGCAGAAGCAAATTAAGCTTCAAAACACACATTTAAACAGATATATAGATGCACAGTTCAGCGGACCATTTAATTATGTGAATTTTCTGAACTCAAATGGCACTAAAAACATGCTTAAATTTTCTTAAAACACATGCTTAAAACAAGAAGTGGTCCAAGTTTAAGATGCTCAAATACCTACAACTTCCATAGCCTAAATGTAAGTAAGCACTTAAGGGGCGTAGGACAAGTCTTGAATTTTTCCAAATTTGCCAAAAGTAGGGAGGTACACAGAAGCTACTATAAGCTGTCCTAAAAGAAGACTTTTCACCATAGTGAAAAACACAACAAAACCCAAAATCAAAACCAAACTGGTTTTGGTAGGGGGGTTTTTTGTTGTTTGGTTGGTTTGTTGGTTGTTTTTTTTAATGACAATCAAGTTGAGAACATCAATATCAGGTATTAAAAAAAACCAGAAACCACCCCCTCTCCCGTGAGTAAAAGTAGAATGAGTTACCTCCTTTTGACGTCCAACAAATCTAACTCTTCTATAATCCTTTTCTTCATATACCTAAAGTATAAAATAAACTTGGTCTTATTTAAAAAGCAATGACCATAAACAAAGAACACAAAGGCTTACAGCACTGTCAAAACTAAATGGTTTAAATAGTTTCCTCGATTTCAAGTATTGTCATCATCTTACAAGTATGTACTGCACAGAAAAAGTAATTTCTGTTTCTCTCACACAGGAAAATAGATTTTAGGTTGGCAAATAGAAAAGAAGGAGGGGGAGTATTAATTCAGTAAACAGAAGCCTTAGCTCTGACCATAGAGACAAACACAAGATTTATTACTTACGACGCTGTTCCTCGATCCCACACTGCCATCTGGAAGGTGAACTAAACTAGGAAATTCAAGTTCCATGTGGTTTTTTTTTTTTACATTCGAGTCAAGTAACCACAGCGAGGCCCTTCCACAACATCTCCCTCTCTCCCATCTCCACAAGTTACTACGCAAGCCTCCCCAGCTCGCACGCTCACTTTTTTTACACGAAAAAACAGGTAAAATGGATTCACGAGGCACTGACACAAGGATACCTCCTACCTGCCAGCTCCTCAGCTGTGTCAAACCCTGGGTTCAAACCACAACGCCTAGTCACGCCTAACGACCCCTCTTCCTAATTAACAAGCCTCTTTTTTCGACACCGCACGTACCTTTGCGCCTACGTACCACGCAAGAGCGTTCATTTCCACACCGCCTCGCAAACGAAGCGGCACACCAGCGACGTGCCGCTCTACCGAGATTCTTTCGGCTCCCCGTCTCACCAACGTACCGCTCGCAGCCCCGGCAGCGGCTTCCCCGCAGGCACCGGCAGGGCGGTTGAGGCGGCCCGGACGCTTCCACCCTCCCCGGGCAGCACCGACCCCCGGGCCTTCCCTCCTCCCACCGCGGCCCCACGCTCTCACCTGCCCCGTGTGCGTGATCAGCTCGCCGGTACCGGAGGCCCGCACGCCGTAAGGCCGAACGGCGGGGCGCCCC